CCCTGAGATATAGGAGCACTGCTTTCATGTCCCCCCCTAGTCCTTCTTTTCCCTAGACTAGCCAGACCCACATCCTGCAACCGTTCTTCATAAGTTTTATCCTCCAACCCCTCCCTAATCCTCTTGGTTGCTCTTCTCTGCACTCTTTCTAGACTCTCAACATCATTTTTTACATCATGGTGACCAAAATTGGGTGAAAGATTCCAATTGTGGCCTTATCAAAGCATTATAAAGCCTTACTGGATAAGACATGAACTTGATTCTATCCCTCTGTTGATGCAGCCTAGAACTGTGTGGGCTTTTTTGATAGCTGTAGGACACGGCTGGCTCATATTTAAGTGATTGTCCACTAGGACTCCAAGATCCCTCTCCCAGTTATTTCTATTAAGCCAGATACCACCTATTCTAGCGGGTCTTAAAAGTTGACCGCTTTAAGACTTGTGGACTTGAACTCCCAGAATTCCTCCTCCAGTCATGTTAGCTCGGGAATTCTGGGAGTTGAAGTCCACAAGTCCTAAACTTGCCAAGTTGGAAGAGCCTTGCCCTATTCTATACCTTTGCATTTGTTTTGTTTCTTGCTCAGGTGCAAAACCTCACTTTTCTCGCCACTGGAAATCGCCTCTTGTGACAAATTTCAAAAGGAAAAGGAAGTTGCTTCATTTGAATGTTGTTCCATAACTTTGCGAGGTCTTTTTGGTTCACCAAAGACAGGTCAGAGCTGATCCGTCGGGCGCGGAGTCAGAAGTGCTAAGCTTATTCTTTCCCCCCTCCAAATATGCCAGATTAAACAACTCATTATTCAGGCAGATAAGACAAGTTAAGTAAGTGTTCATCCTGATGTTCAAATGAAATGCTTAAGAGACTGTGACGCTATCTCTGGAAATGTGCTTTCTGGGTTGACATAAAGCTGCAGGATTTTGCCATCCCTCTGATGGGTCCTCAGTGTGTGATTTCACTGGCTATCATCTCCTTTGGATTAAGGAATCAGACCTTTGAAACAAATCTACATCACATTGAACATCTCACCACTGCAATGGACAGGGGGACTCTGACCTCCTAAGCAATTTCCAAGAAAGCGCTGGAAAGTGAAGGTTTTGTTTATGGAGAGAGATGGGGATAAGGGAGAGGGAGATGGAAGGAGGGAGGAAAAGAGAGAGAAAGAAGGAAAGAACGAAAGGAAAGAAGGAAGGAAGGAAGGAAGGAAGGAAGGAAGGAAGGAAGGAAGGAAGGAAGGAAGGAAGGAGAGAGAGAGAGAGAGAAAGAAAGAAATAAAGAAAGAAAGAGGAGGAAGGAGATGGAGGGAAGGAGGGAAAGAAGGAAGGAAGAAAATAGAGAGAAGGGAGAGAAAAAAATGGAAGAAAGAGTGGGAGGAAACAAGTGGAAAGGAGGGAGGGAGGGAGGGAGGAAGGAAGGAAGGAAGGAAGGAACAAAGGCACGAGAGAAAAAATGGAAGAAAGAGTGGGAAGAAGGGAGGGAAGGGAAGGGAAGGAAGGAAGGAAGGAGAGACAAAATTGAAGAAAGGGAGGGAGGAAGCAAATGGAAGGGAGGGAGGGGGAAAGAAGAAAAGAAGGAAGGAAGGAAGGAAGGAAGGAAGGAAGGAAGGAAGGAAG